CCCCCTTTCCCCTCCCTCCTAGGGAAGGGCTAGTTGGTATKCTTTTCACGGTCGCTTTCAAAATCTTCGATTAGATGCATCCCCACCCCTCTTATAATTACGACCCCGTCCCCCATCACCCACGAGTTGTGTTTGTGTTTGAGTTTATTTTGTTGAGCKGATTCCAGTTTCTCTTCAGGGAAAATTTGATTCGGCTCAACGTTTTCTACAGTAATTTTCGTGTCAAGATTGAACAACAGTATTCAGCATTCAACGTGAGTCAAAATTTTTATAAATTATAATAATGCAATCACGGAGTGGACGAACGTAGATTTTGAAATCTTTACAAAATCAAAATAGCACAATTTAAACCATTAATTCATCACTCAGTCTCCAACCAACAATTATACATTTAAAACCAGCCAATTCATTGAATGACGTAGATTACTCTAGTTTAAATGCTAAATCTCTTTTATCCAATAATGCAATGTTACTTTTAATGTTTAGTTTGGTAGTTTAATTGGAGCWGTGGGAGGACAATTTGGACTCTGTGTGGGGATGTCAATTCTCTCTCTCTGCGAAGTTTTAGAGTTTCTCTACGATCTTTGCGTCATTMTTATTAGACGTAAAAACGTCACTCCAACTTCACCCTCGACTACTTAGAACAACGATATAGAAAYGAAAGAAAGTTATATTCATATCCATATCTTTACTTAGAACAATTAACAACAGCACCAAACAGGCGCATACCAATCGATCAATACAAAATGTACACCAATAGACTGGACAATAAAAACTGATAACAAAAATAGATAGAATACTGATTATGGTTTGTGTAACCAATCACAACTATTGATATCTTGAAATTGTAAATTTTACAGTTCCTTTATTAGACGAATAAAGTTTACAGTTAACATTGTGAACTGTAAAATCTCTAAAAAAAACTCGTAAGTCAGACATTGTTTMGTGTAATTWTCACTKTTTTCARTTTYCTCCCATTCGTTTCCTCCCCCAGTCTTCAATTCAAAACTAAGCGTTTGTCTTGCCGCTAACGATTGACGAGTCTTTGTGGGGTTTTACTACCGACGTAAATATCGTATCGTTCAATTGTAGTTAAAAATAATTGCCCATATCTGTGCCGGAAACTTTAGCAAAACGACTAGAAATACATGCGTTTCATTTCAGAGCTAACACACCGCCCTCAAAGCTTTAAGATCAGCTATATGATATACTAYTGGCCATACGATAGCGTCATACACCTGTAGTATTCCATCAGCTTTTGAGAGCTTATAGCGTGTAATCAGGATATAACAACGACTTGTGTAACTAGTGTCAAAAGACACATTCTTTTTAATTGTAAGCACAATAAAAAGGCTTTCATAAGTCGYCATTTTACTTATGAAAAGATACATAGTTTTTTCCTTTTTTTTCTTAAATCCAATCAAATCCACTTTTTTYTAATCAGAAAAAAAATGAATGGTTTTGTTAGAGAAAGGTGAATGGTAGTGAGTGTTGGATCGATAGATGATGTCCGTGTACGGCAGTAAGTGACGATTTTTCATTTCTAACATCGCAATCACTTTGACTGAGTAATAACTTTCTTGTGTAGTGTGTAGGATTTCCACTACTGCAGAACCTCAACAGCCTCTTACTAACCYACACTAATTCACAAGATAAACGACGTTTTGCATTAGTCGTGAAGTATTTCTTTCTTTCTAATATTTTCGTCTTTTCAAAATTGTTTCTTAGCCTATTTGTTGTTATCTGAAGAGAACAAAAGCAACTGAGAATGTCACCAGCCGAAATGCACACTCTTAGAAGCGGATGGAGTAAATCGTTTACATTGTAAAGAAGAATTAAATGTCGAGTTCGACAATGTTCCAATTATTAGGCAAATATGGACATTCCACATAGATTTAAAGATCCTCTTACAAGACATCGAAGGTAAAACGACTCCTTCATTGCGAAAAGTGGGAATATTTACCGGAACACCGAGTCCACTCAAACACATTAAACATGTTTGATTTCTCAATGGCATTGTATCATTGACTAACAAGATTAGAATCTAGACAGTGCTTTTACTTGTGAATAAATCCACAAAAGCGTCTCCAACTATAATACAATTATTACAAAAAGGGATTTTAAATGTATTTCCTTGAGGGCTGTGAARAGTCCATGAATGACTAATAAAAATAAAAAGTGAAGAACGTAAAGATTATTTTCATTTCATTCTCATTCTATTTTTAATCGATCACTTGGAATCTTATGTAATATTACATAATCATTAATGWTAAAAAACCGGTATATTCAAGATTAATGAAGTAACACAATGTTTTCATCATGAATCATGAAGAGGGAAGGGGATGCCGTGACCGCACCGTGCTGAGAGGTCGACATTRGAACCTTGAGTCGTACAAACCTCATATACTAAACGATACTCWCGCCTAAACTTCCAAGTTATTCGACTCACAAACGGTTAAAGTCCAATCCAAAAAAGTTTATATTTAGTCAATTAAAGTTGTATTTGTTCCTAGAACGTCACGACGCGAGGGGTTGTTTGTTTAAGCTGCACGAATCGTATATCCATATATCGGATGTCACATGACCATTTCACAACGGGGCTTAATATAAATGTACCGTGGTGCGTCGAAGAAAGGGACAATCAAAGCAGGACTGGCWAGGGACATCAACCTATACCTCAAACTTACATATATACTAGATATTAGATTGGTAAGTGATTCTTAATATTTGAATTGACACGGAGTTCTGTTGAAGTGTTTGCAAGCAGAATTATCAAGGATTTTTTTAAAGGATAAAATATTATAGCGTTTTGCAATGAATGSCTGCATTACCTAATTTTACATATTTTCCTATTTTATAAATACATATGTGCTGTAGACATTAGTTTATCGAGAAGAAATGCCAATCAACCGATATTTCAAAATGCAATTTATAGTTACTAAATTTGATGAAAGCKCTCGTTTAAAATGATAATTTTATAAAATTTTGTAAACTATAAAAAGAGCAGAATCGATGTGGTCTTGGTTTTCTAAATTTAATTCAATGTATCAAGAGAAATGTTGGCACATATTTCTTCAAGAAACGCATCCTTCATCAGTGCACGAGGAAAACTTTTTTGTCCACGTGGACAAGAATTAATGACATTACTAATTAGATTAAACCTAATGACATTTCAACATGAAAAAATTGCTTCAAGAATAAGTCTTTGAATACTAGAAGATAATTTTGAGTAAAATGATATCCTTTTCCTTTTTGCAAATGTAATAATGTAAGTTAAATTGACTACTTTAGATAAATATGCGGTAATAATCCTTAGAAGTACTCTGAATACAACGAACCAGCATGGGAGCTCAGAAAGTCTAGGATCAAATTTTAAAAATCTTAAGCGTTGTAGCTATTTTGGTGTTGAAAAAAAAGCCGAATATATACTATAGTACCAATCGTGAATACCCATCAGAAACGTCCAGGAAGTTTATCACATGATCTGGCATCACTAACGGCACGTAAAGATGAAAGTCTATTCATGATGGACGGCACATCGCCTTACATTTCTACGGCACAGGAGGGTTTTGAGAGTTAATGAAATCGCATTAAGAATAGTTTTAATTTTYATACATTTTAGGTTTAAAAACTGGTTTTTGAAAAGGTTTTATCTAGAAATATAATACTGCTCTCTTAACAAAAGAACTGATATTTGTGATAGAGTATTAGATTCCAACACGTTCTCACGACTTGTTTCATCGTGTCAGTGAGACTACTAACCAAGCCTTGACAATACCAACTACAATTAGTTAACAGTGTTTTCTGTATGTTTTCAGGATATACCATGAATCTATCGATTCTTTTAGCCTTAGTCGTTSTACTTACAGTCATTCAAAACTTGTTAGCGTCGCCACTAGTCAACAACGACGCAAAAGTAGCCGCCTTTTCTGACGAAGACTGTCCCCCCGGTATCTGGACTTGTAAGAARAARAGACAACTCCTTCAGGAACAGCAAATGGGCATTAAACATGATGCCGATTGTCCCCCCGGTATTTGGACTTGCAAGAAAAAACGACAGATCRTTCCTAAGCCTCAAATGGGCATCAAACACGACGAAGACTGTCCTCCAGGTATCTGGACTTGCAAGAAGAAGCGACAGAACGTACCTCAGCCT